GGGGGGGGGGGGGGGGGGGGGGGGGGGGGGGGGGGGGTTTATTAGTAGTAGCGATGCACTGATGGCCGTTCTACGGCCAGCAATTTTTTTAGAGTCAAAAGTCTCACCACCTACGGCCATTTTCGGGTTCTCTACCATACTGAGGTCGTTTGATAAGAGCTGTATTGGCTCCATTCTTCATGGTCGTGACGCCATTCCGATAACTAGAACGGCCGCCGGCCTATTCAACAGGTAAAATTGTGTTAACAAAGATGGTGGCGACCAGTGGAGGGATGCGAGACTGAGCTGGTCTTTCTAAATGGAAAGTTACTGGATGCTACTGGATTTTCGATTTAAGTAGAAATTTCGGTGGGTGGAATTGACCCATGTGATAGTCACTCCAGTTCGTGAATGGACTGCGTGACGTGTGACATCGCTGTCAAGCGTGTGACTCATTCTCATGTCGGAAACGACTGGAGCAGTTTTTGCGTTCCCCGAGATAGATCAGATCGTGAAGAGGTGATGCCAAAGTCAGCCCCTTGCTCTCTGACTGAAATGCCTGCAGCTTTATCTCCAAATTAAGTGCCGACAGTTTCCGTAATATGTAGGTAGTCCGTGATATATAGGAGGCGTGAACGCCTCACTTTCACTTACATATAGCCGGTGTTTAATGAAATCGACAGCCCTGATTTGGCGGCAAGACTGACGTCATAGTTCTGAAAAAAAAAATAAATAAATCTGAGAGGTTGCTTCATCCTTGATAGCGTTTTTATTGTTGGATTTGTCGGATTCACAAGATAACCCGTCAGTATTAACGTTTGGCTTCTTTATCCAAAGCCATGAAGGAAATCAAGCAGGAAATTGGAAACGTCCCACGAGTGAGAGGCTTCCTCCTAAAATAGATGAACCAATTGACCCCCTTCCTAAAAGCCTGGCTTGCAAATGAACTGGGATTGAATTTTCCGAATTGGGAACCCGTTGATAGGTTGCAAGAGGCATTATGATGGAAATGGCGAGAACTGGGGAGAAGCGAGAAGCCTTTCCCCGTCTCCGTTTTCCTTGTCTCAGCGGGTGAGGGGCATTTTCCACTCTGCAATCTGGATGAGCGGGGCTGGATGAAAAGCTTAAATGCAGATTTCGGGGGAAGATGCTTCATTAATCGGGGGCCTAGGAGATTCTTCAAGGAGGAAGTTGGGAAGGGGCCAATCCTAAGCTCTGGTAACAGGGCGTTCTTTCAGGCTGCCGTGTTTTCGTCCCTCTTTAAGAGAACACATGGTGACCGCACACTCGTTTTGCTTTGTCTACTGGGATGAATAGAGACGCTGATGCGAATGCGTCATTGTCGGCAGACAGACACAGGATCGTAACATATCGTGCGTAAATCTGGTTTTCTAGCTTCATTTCCCTGAAAGTGTCGGTGGAAGTCAATGCAAGAGGCGATCAAAGACTCGGAGCTTCGAGAACTCTTCGAGAAATATTCCTGCTATGTGGGCAGGATCTTGCTTGGATCTCAGATTCTTTGCGGCTTCATCACTGCCATCGTCGCATTAGCCTTCACCGTCTCCCAATACCATGTAAGTCTTCATTTCATTGCCCGTCACATCTGTGTTTCGTGCCTGGATGCGCAGCTTTCATTGCATTCATCTCGGCCTTAAGCGGATAACCCTTTTTGGTTCCGTGGGAGTTTCTTATCCATATTCATGTTATCGCTTGAGTAGGATCTCGCGGTCGGGAGATTGGTGTACATCAGCCTCCTGGCAGGGGCATTTGGAGCCCTACTCATCTCCATCACGTGTTTCGCGGATTCCTCCTTCTCCTGGCTGGCACCGTACATCTCCTGGGTCACGTGGTTCCTCTGCCTGACCTCCGTTCACCTGCTCTACGCGTTGTTTTCACCTGCAGAGCCACTGAATTCCGTGGTCTATGTCTTCGCTCTCCTTCTTGCCACGTCCGTGTCTCACAGCCTGGAATGCTTGGCTGCCAGCGTCATGACCATCCTCACTGCCCTGTCTTTTCTCTTGCCTGTGATACTTTCACCTGTCTGCCAACCCCTACGCCCTTTTCAGGTGAGGAAACTGAATCTCTCACCCTTTTAAACTACCCTAGAGGGATTTACACAATTAAGCAGGTATTAGAGAGATATCCACTGAAATCAGAAGCATCTTGGGTGAGGAGAAAAAAATGCAAAAAGCCTATTTTTGTCATTCAAGTGAGAGATTCATAGTCTTGCACTAAATGGGGAATTGAGGGATGAGAGGCAAATCTTGGCAAATGTTCACAATTTTTTAATATCCCACATGACGTCAAGTGCAACTCCTCCATTGCCTGAGGTAGTCAGTGTTTGAGTACTATTGTAATTTTCCCTCCCTATAGATGGCAGGAGTGAACTTTTAAGAAGCTCAATAGAACAACAGGAGGACAATACTAAGAAATAAACTTTTTTGAGCTGTTTCATATAATTTACTCTATGTGATCTTGAGAACGCTTGATGCTGAATCACTTCTGCACGGTTTTCGCCAGTTAAGTGGAGCCGTGATCTTTTGCCTCTTCGGGACAGCGGTCAGCCTTTACTTGAGACGCTTATGGGAGAGACAACAGAAATGCATGTCTGAAGACAGTCGCCCCTGCATCGAATCTCGCATCAAAATGGAATGCGAGAAAGAGCAACAGGAAACCTTGCTCCTCAGCGTCATTCCAGCCTACATTGCCGTCGAAGTGAGTGCACCGCAGCTTACAGTCGATGGGGAAACACAGTGGAATCTGCATGCTGAGAACAGGAAATGCCGATCTTGTCAAGGTGAAGCGGAACGTGATGTCGAAAATGAGGGAAGCCACGCAGGAGAGCACGGCTCTCAAACAACAGTTTTACGACATGTACGTCCAGAGGCACAATAATGTCAGGTATGTACGTGGAGAGATATATCGATTTCGAAATGTATCTGTGGATACGAGGAAACGGTGGGTTTTTCTGAAGTTTTTGAGCGGAGAAAGGAATTTTTCGGTTTGAATGCAAGGTGTGGCAAGCAGACCCTCGCCTTTGAATTCGTATATCTCCGCGCTTACTGAAAAATTCATTTGGCCTAAACAAGGCCCCCAACAATTGTTAAAAGAAGTTGGAAATTGGAAAAGGACGGGAGCTCATGCTGAGCGTGAAGTGGCTTCCATTATGTATATCCATGATGTATTGAATATATCCAACCACAGCTCGAAGGCGACTCATTCATTCGACTCAAGAAGGGGGTTCCCATCCATTTTCGATTTCTGACGTCTCCGGATAATCGCAAAAAAAAACCTTGTTTTAACGGAATGAATATTGATGGAAATTTTAGCTTATGTTGCAAACATGTCAACCTATCTGCAGTGCAACTTCGGCAAAAGTTGCTCCAGCAAAAGCGGAAGTATATGGGTTCAAAGTCGGGGTCTTTTCCCCATGCCTTGTATATATTTACCCCCTACGTGTAAACTCCCGTGCGAGTAATTTCGACCCAGGAGGTGGAAATAGTTTCCACTTCCTCCCTCTTCCCATACCTTTATGAGATGGAGCTGGTTTCTCTCTCTCTCTCTCTCCCTCTCTCTCTCCCTCTCTTCCTCTCGGACGGTGGCCAAAAACCCCTCGCCTCCGATCGTCATGGCGACTAAGTTCCCATCAAGGTGCAGTGGAGCAAGGAAATTGACGCATTTCGTTTCCCGTTTCCTTTCATGTCCCTGGCACAATTCAGGATTTCACTGATCGAAGATGGAGGAATGAAAACCCACCCTCTCCCCTTGTTCCCTTGCCCCATATTAGACTGTGCCAGACCCTCCTTTAAAATATTCCCTCTCCTTTTTCCTCTTCCTGGGCGTTCTTCGGAAACCATCTGAAATCGCGTCCGCCAAAGCAGACTTTTATTCTATGGATCGTTTCCATTGCAGCATCCTGTATGCAGACATCGTCAACTTCACGCCATTGTCTGAGAAGCTCTCAGCGGCCAATTTGGTTCATGTGCTCAACGAGCTCTTCGGCATGTTCGACGAGATTGCTCAGGTGGGTCCCTCGCAAGCTTTTCACCTTTCATGGAATATCACGCAATGAGTGATTTTCCATTTTCCAGGACAATCAATGCCTGAGGATTAAGATCTTGGGCGATTGCTACTACTGCGTATCTGGCTTGCCCGTCTCCCGCCCGAATCATGCGTCCAATTGCGTCACCATGGGCCTGAGCATGATCGAAGCCATCAAGTCCGTCGTTCACGGTCGACCTTCCCGGTCCTGAGGAGATTACAATGCGTAATCCATGCTTTTTTTTGCTTGCTTCAGGATGATGCGAGAGGCCACTGGGTCCGACATCGACATGAGGATCGGGATTCATTCCGGGAGTGTTTTGTGTGGGGTAATCGGACTTCGAAAGTGGCAGTTTGACGTCTGGAGCGATGACGTCACACTAGCCAATCACATGGAATCTGGGGGTGTCCCTGGGTGAGACCATTAGGGATACTCTCTCCCTTGTCATGCTAGACGTGCGATTTACATATTGAGTGATATAGCCGCATCACATAAAGTGCACACGGTAGCGATGGAAGGAACGGGACGAAAATGAATAGGCTACGAACAGATAAGATGTACTAAGAGAGGGAGCAAGAACACATCGTATTCCCTTTTGGGATTTCAGGAACGCATCTCGAAATGGGATTAAAATGGCCCAAAGTCGATTAGTTGGAATAAATCCTTCTTGCCTTGGCGGGGTCAATCAATTCAAGTATGAATGGCCATCTTGGGGTTCTAGATTACTTCGTCGGATGCATGCCATGCTATTTGATGACGTCTATTGTCTCACGGAAGCGGGTGCGAACGATGATCTCGTGCCTGCCGTCTTTTCCAGGCGGGTTCACATCACGTATGCGACGCTGATGGAGTTGAATGGGAAGTTCGAGGTGGAGCCGGGGAACGGGAAGTCCAGGGACTCCTATCTGGCCGAACATTCCGTCGAAACCTACCTTATCAAACGACCCAAAGTCCGTGAGACGTGATGAGATGGAGCTCGACTCAAACTTCTTCCTTTCATTCCCTTGATGGATTTCCTCTGCAATTTAGGATTTCTCCGTGTTCGAGTTGAAGGGTCGGAGTAACTTGATCAGGAATAAAAGTATCGAGTGCTGGGGAGTGGACAAGCCTTTTGCCAGCACCAGCGAAGCCCACATCGCTCGAAATGTGGCGAAGTCCGTTAGTATATTCGACCCCTCTTCCTTCCTTTTCGTCAGAATATCTGAATTGTTTCGGTAACTCTTTGAATTTCCTCTCCGGCGACCGACGACAGAGCATGGCCATGATCGAGTCGACCATCATGCCAAGCAAATCCTTCGCGGAATGCGCGTACGGTTACATCCCCAATCAAATCCAAACGAGTCCCAACATCTCGAAATGCAGTGAGTTTTTTTTTCTCCCCCTTTCTGCTTCTCTCCTCTCGTCAGGTCGTTCTGTGGTTCGGACGACTTCTATCCGCTTCTGATGACGTTCAGAAGTCGAGGGCTGGAAGAGGAATACGGCAAGGAAGAGGATCATCACCTGCGACTTTCGAGTGCCATGGCTTTTCTTGCCTTCCTCGTCTGTGCCGTTCTTCACTTCCTTCACCTCACTCCGTGAGTGCTGCCACTTTCACTCTCGTCATGCGTTTGACAACTTGGCATCAATCTCGTCCTGCTTACTTTTACAAGGTCGACTGGGATGTTGGTCGGGACGGGACTTACGGGGATTTTCCTCATGATTTGCTTCGCTTTCGTCTGGTTGAGAAGACCGAAGGAAGACGTCTTATTCCGACGGACCCTCCTTTTGTCTTTCGTCAACCTTGCCATTGTTCTCTATACTGGCATTCCATTATTTTTCCATCACGTGAGCTCTCATTCGGCCACCTTCTCAACCTCAGGCCCAAAATAGAAAAAGAAAATATGTTCATCGGAAAATCCTTGTTTGATCCTTGGCAGGACTCGTGGTCGATGGCGGTATCAACGAAGGATAGCCGTAATTCCACAGATGGAGAATCGGATTCATTCCTCGCTCATTCAGAATCTCCTTGTTTTGAGCTCCCAGTGCGCCTTCTTCCGTCCCTTTTGTTCACGTGTTGACTTTTGACCCCTCTCTTCATAATAGACTACCGCATGCTGTCGTTTAGCTGAGCACGGCGGCGGCATTGGTGAGTATAAGCACGTCGGCCCTCTTCCTTCGATGGCATTTCCTCCTAAAGCTTGTCACAATGCTTCTCGCTATCATCCTCCATTCCGTCTGGCTCCTCGTCTTTCGACCGCGAAGGTAAATGTGTGGACAAGGTAGTTGCAATATCTCTGCCAGTTTTTGTGTTCAATCACTTTTAAACAGTTAATCGAGAGCAATGAAAGCTATGTGAGCTGGGCACCCTGCAAAGAAAGCTTCTACATCTGGCGCGATTGAAAATGTATTTGTTGCCGCTTGGTGAACCGTAGTGAAATAAAGCAAGGCAAGCTACACTTCTCAGAACATGGACTCATTGGGGAAGACCCCTCCAAAGGGTTAACTACCTAATGAGAAGTGAAAGTGAACCGAGCCCTGCATGGGTCGTAAGGTCTCGTTCGCAGGTCACATTGTGACATCATTTTTTCGATTAATTTTCTGGCAACAGTTTGTGTTGTCCTCAGCCATTTCTCTTACAATGCATGCACAATCCACGAGTTCAGTGATTTAAACAGAGTGATTGGAAGAGACAGTCCTCTCCTCGTAGCTTCCCGTGGAAGACAAAACTAGGCTTTACCTCAATCTCACACGTTTCGAAGACATCTACGTGTCGAGCTTCCCCTTGGAAAAGAAACATATACTGGCAGAACCATCTGCAGGTGATGGAAAGGGTCTGCTTATGATTTCCAGTTTTCGTTCACTCAATCCGAAGCTCTCAAAATATGCTGGAAGTTCCCCTCTCCACGTTTACAACCCACACTCTGGCCTCCAGTTTGACTCGAAGAGCAGCAAGGCTTGACAATTTGCTCTGACTTGACTTTTCGATTTGAAATGTGTCATTACTGCGGAAATAATTGACTGCAAAAGCTGTGCTGCTGGCCTCTCAGTGAACAGTTTGGATACTAGACTTAGCTCTGATGTGCTATGGTGAAAGGGCAAAGTGAAGGAAAATATTTCCACAATTTCCACAATTGTTTTCATTGCTATCGATTAGCTGATTCGCGATTGAGCAGCAATGGAAATTCGCTGACTACGTAATCAATTAATCATTCAATCAATTACTAATATATTAATAGCATTCTTATACGTGTTTACTTTGCCCCTACCCTCTCATCATCATAATCGATCACCCTGTAAAACAGAAGCATGACAGTGAGACTGGATGATCCCCGCAGAAGCATGGAAGGAGGAGGAGAGAGGTCTTGGGAATTGATCTTAGCCATGTGCCTGCTTTGTGGGATCCTGCATTCCCTCAATGCGAATTTGGAGAAGAGTCTCCGCTTGAAATACCTTTGGAATGCCCGGCTGACGGTTCCTCATGAAGACGAGGAGACCATGAGGGTCCTGAATAAAGTCCTACTCGAGAATATGCTCCCTGGCCACGTCGCCAGGCTGTTCCTCTCTCGAGACAATACCACTCAGGTGACACCGATAGAAAAAGAATTGGAATTTCTTTTTCTTTACTCGGAGGAAGTGACTGATGAAACTCGAGGGAATCTGAACGATAAGTCTTCTTCCCCCAGGGTCTGTATCACGAGAAATACTCCAGTGTGGCCGTGATGTTTGCTTCCATTCCCAACTATAAGGAATTCTACGACGAGAACGACGTGAATCAACGAGGTCTGGAGTGCCTACGACTGCTCAACGAAATCATCTGTGACTTCGATAAGGTCTAGCACTTTCCATTCCGTCCATGCAGTATCGACCTGTGTATTTTTATTTGCATGGAAAGGGCTGGACCCTCCAGAATCCGATACTCTTCTGCTTTGAGAATCAATAAGATCAATGCGAACCCAATTCATGTTTGTCTTGGACAGTCCGGGAATTCGTGTTTGTCTTGGATGTGACGTAAATGGGTCGGCCCGGATTCCACATTTTCTCCTCTTTTCCTCTCGCAGCTGCTGCTGAAGCCGAAATTCAGCAGCATCGAGAAAATCAAGACAATCGGGAGCACGTACATGGCAGCTGCTGGCCTCCAACCCGGCGAAAGGAAAGAGGCGGAGGTGAGATCCACAGACGCGGCTCGGCTCGTGTCGGTTGAAGCGAAAAAAGAAATTCCCTGCTCTTTGATATTCTGTGACGCTTTTGAGACAGCAGATTGCATGAGAAAGTTTTCTTTAGTAATTACTTCTCTCTATCCTCTAACAGCCAAAAGTTCGTGCCCGTTCTTCTCGAGACGTTTTACAGCACAAGATATTTTGCAAAAAAGCAACTGGAATTTTATTTTTGTGCAGTAAATGTCCAGCATGTCTAGCGATTTCGGACTCTTGTTCCTCAGTTTTTCTGGGAATATGATTCTTTCCCCGAAAGATGAGGCATCGAAGAAAACCTGTTGTTTTTGAGAAAAGGTAGGATGGGATAAGAATTGCGTAAGAATTTCCTTGCAGAGGGTAGAAGAAAGAGTAGAAGAAACGAACCGCTTACGGATTGATCCACAAGCTGCGAGAAAATGGTTAATCTGAGGTTAAAAAAAGAGGAAGCGGCAGGCCGAGCTTATAATCAAGCGTAGCTTGAAGCTTATCTTAAACTGAAGAAAAGGGTGTGATCTATTTGGAGGACTCTCAAGTTGAGAGGAAAAAACACAAGAATTTTCACTCGTCGTCAGTGCCGCAGGTCCGAATGTCGGAGTCGCGGTGTGAGAGCAACAATAATACCTCGAATTCGAGTTACGTGGGTAAAGTCGTTCCCGCGGTAGAGCGGCTGGAGATACAAGGACCAAAATGTGAGGATGCTAAGAGGATAAATAGGAGAAGTAGTAGATGGGGGGGGGGGGGGGTCCGTGCCGTGTGCAGTCATCGTGAGAACGTGAATCTCATTTGAATTGTTGCTTTCGTAGGGAAAAAATTAGATGACTCTTCGATACTGGATTTTCTCGACGTTCATCGTTCGGGGAATCTGAAACGAAACTGTGTGGGGGGGGGGGGGGGGGGGGGGGGGGGGGAATTGTCTTGCTGTCTGCTCGCTCATAATCGCGAAATAATTTTTCAGAGTTCACAGTGGGACAAAGTCGCGCTTTCCTGGCCAAAATTAAAATTGCTGTTTCATATGGGATTATTCAAGTTTAATTACTCTAAAGCACCAGCAAAGCCATATTTTGTTTTAATGAAGGTTTTACATTCCATACATGGTGATCAAAAAGTTTACTATTGGTGTCTGAACAAACTACCATGAACAGTGGAGTAACTTCAGGCGATAACTCACTAAAGCAGAAATTCTAGACTATGCATGCAAATTAATTCCTGCAATCCATGCATGCAGATTCGAATGCAGAACTTCTTGCACAATCCTTTTCATCAATTGGTCCAAATAATTCATTTCTTTAGGTTTCGCACAAAAAAAATGAGTACTAGAGCAGGTTTTGTTGATGTCAATGTTGATTCTATATTTCTATCAATAATTTTCAGATGCATATATTCTTTCTTCAACGTCTTTTTAAATATTTTGATGAATATTCGATTGCCGCATTATGTACTTCACGAGGGGGATGTGATGAGGAGAAGCGAGAGATTCGGGATCCTTCGCAACGGATTTCTTTAAATGCGTCAATCCTCGAGACGATTCTTGGAAGCAATCAACACTGATTGAGGAAGGAAATTTTTGCGCATGTTTGCACACCCATGCATGGGTGTGCAAACTTTCAATGGATTGAAGTCAGGCAAACAAAGATTGGACTCAAGTGGGAATTACAGTAGACACCCTAAGACATTTCACTCCTATTGTCAACTCATAGGGTATCTTCCACTTTCGCCCCCGTAGACTTTCGCCCTCGAGACTTAATTGAAAGATGGTTGCTAAATTTTCTCTTTTATTTCATCTCGATAAACGGGGGCGAGAGTGCACGGGGGCGACTTTCCAAACGTTGATTTCGTGAATGATAACCAGCCTCAACCCTTTAAAAGGGGAGGCAAGGTTGACTCCCAATTTCTCTTCCGTACCCCGATGGATAGTGAAAATGACTAGGAGTTGATAGAAACTATAGTCCCTCATGGATTCCGATCATATTTTCATTACGAAGCAGTCATATAAGGGATGATGATATAAAACACAAATCAGGTCATCCAGCTAAAATGAATTGCATCTGAACAAACTTCTTTCTATTCAGACACCATATGAGACATGGCTGAAACATATTTTTTCAGATCAATTTCGTTTCGAAGAAATAGAATCTGGAGGCGGTCAATCCGAGCCTCCAAGTCGATGTATTTCTTTTTCCTCCTCATCCTTGCACCATCCAGCATGACCAGCCGCGATTCCATGTTGATTGTTCCTTCTGAATCAATGCCACGAGTTCACATCGCATCTGGCGAATTACCTTTGCCACCTTCATCTTCTCGGGATTCTTATCATGAGCATGGCGCCCGGGAACACTAAAAACTTGTTGCTGATCGTCCAGATTAACGTCAGCTCGGCATTTTTCTTTCTCGCATATTCAGCGACTCCGGTTCTCACGCTTCCAGTGAGATCGATACACATAGCCTTCGAGGACGAACTTCCTTCTGCCCCTTGCAGTCTCTATCGTCTCTAACTTATTTTCAGTATCCATCTTGCACATGGAGGGATAGTGAAGCTAGGAGTTGACCTTGCCTCCCCTTTTTAAGGGTTGAGGCGGATATGGGTATCAGTCGTGAAAATGACGCGTGGAAAGTCGCCCCCGTGCACTTTCGCCCCAACCGTGTGCATGGCAAAGATTAGATCAAATCTTGTGATTCTTGTCAATCGGAACGCGGGGGCGAGATTCCACTTGGTCGAAAGTGGAGGTAATCACTCATAGCAGTTAGTTTTCCCGTGACTGATAAAATACAAAGTTAGATTCCAAAAAAATTCCAAAATCTTTGTCGCACCCGATCGACTTCGATCGGCACACAAAGAATTTGGCTTATCAATAATTGAAGAATGAGCTCATAAATGTAGGCATCACGCCCATATTAGTTTATATAAGATAATGATATCACATAATGTGAAAGTACTTATTCATAGAAGCCTCCATCAAGTCCATATAACTGCATCATGGTTTTTTTTTCTTACAACAGAGTGGTTTCATTTTAACCTGAAGAAATCACGGTCTGGACGGGTACTCAGCGTTTCGTTGTGCTTTCACAGCTCCACCTCGAAAATGGAAAGAGGTTTTTAAAACCGTATTTGCTGTTTTCTTAAGCTTAATTATTAGGTGACAAATAGGTTGTAAATGAGAATCTTGCTAGATAACTCGAGATTTTACATTTTAGCCAGAAAAATGCTGCTTTGTCCCATTGTGGAGTATCGCGGTTTTTTTTGTGCCTCATCCGATACTAAGGTCAGATCCCGTACCGGAATGCGGAAATTTTATTCGTCGACGAATGGGCCTTGCAACAACGACTGCCTCTTTTCAAGCCATTGCCTCATCATTCCAATCACAAAACTTCTGCCTCTATTGCTAGACTGGGCAGAGAAATCGGAAATGGAAACAGACATTCGGGAGAAAATTTGGCGGACGAAAATTTTTTTATTTTTAATTTCTATTAATTCCCTAAATCGTGATCAAGACTTTGATGGATTTGGGAAAGAATCTATTCATATAGATCAAATAGAACAAATAAATCGATTCGTATTTTCATCTCTACAATTTATATTGAAAAACATAACACGTTGATGATATATCTCGTCGCAGCCCTCCACGTTTGAATTGAGCAAAAAAGACTCGCCATGTTTTGAAGTGGAACCGGAAGAAAGTTGAACTTTCCAGTTCTCCTTGAAAGCAAGACTCTTGAAAGTAAGAAAATGTCTCTTTAATGCATAGGCGACTCTGGGCTGAATAAGTAGTTTTCCATCCATCATTAGGGATGAGTAATGGCCGCTGGCCCTGTCAAAGTAACTTCAAAGCAAACTGAACCTAAAAAGGCATTGTAGGTTTGAGCCAGATCGCCGTGAAACCGGCTTATGAAACCGGCACATAAAATACACTGTGCCGATCTAGCGTGCCTCAAATGTGGAGACCGATTTAAGTGTCAATTTTCCACTCAACGATTTGGCGGTGCTAGCATAAGCGGTTGACAGCACAATGGAGGCGATGTTCGTTGCTGTGAAGGGTCCCTCCTCTTCGTTCCATCAATTGCCATGTGTTTTGGAAGTGGGAACCTACTCCGCCCACCACTCACAAAGGGAGAAGTGGAACAAGGCAAAAGGAAATGGAGGGACCATCCACAGGAATGGGAAAAGCAGAGCTTGAGATTCACGCGAGTCATTCTTGCTGGCGATGGGAAGTCGATTTGTCGTGTAGACGAACGTTGCGTTTTTTCTTTGCGCTAACGTTTCGTCACTGAACCCTGCTTGTAATTTCGTATAGACATTTCGCACTCATTCGTTCGTCAGAGTCGTGGTGAGATCCCAAAACAACAATGCCCCATAAATGTGCACCCGCAATCACCCTGATGTAATGGCGCTCAGACAATATCTGTTTTATGAGGTCGCAAACGAGTCTTCATCACTGCAATTCTTCTCCTGCTATGAGTCAAAGTTACGTTTCTTGGAGCATTTCCCCCACTCACTCAACTTGAAATGGACGAGCCAGTGTAAACCGTGAACTCAGCCTATGATGATCAGCCTCTCTGACGTTCTTGTCCCTTGGCATGTTGTCCTTGTTGGGTACAGCCTGGCAGGTGACTCTTGCGATCGAAGTAACAGCATCCAGCTAAGATATGACGAATAAGGACATGTTTTTATTCTCATCAAAATATCCCCGGAAGAAGAAAAAATATCGTGTACACGTTGGGATGTTTCAGGGACGAACACGAAAGGAAGAGCAGAACCTGGTGGTCATGGTTGATTTTGCCTTAGCCATGATGGCCGTGCTTGATCAAATCAACAAGGAGTCCTTTCAGCGGTTCAAGCTTCGGATCGGTGAGTCCTTCATCCACCCTCTCTGGCGTCCTCCCCCTCTTCACCCCACAAAGCTGAATGACCTTAAAGCTTACATGGAGCTATTTTTATGCTTCACTTGGGGGACATTGTGAGTTCGATCAGTCCATTGAACTGAATGGGCCCGTGGCATCAGTTACAGCAAAGCCCTACGGTGTTTAGGCCAATTTATTCGCGTGTGGAGGACTCAAAGAACTTATGGCAGATAAATTGCATGAACCTATTTAAATTCATTATAATAAGTTATGATAATAAAGTACTTTTCTTCAAATCTCAGATGTCTCGAGAAAAAAATTCTTATTTGGCTGCTGTTTGGTGAACAGGGGAACAGAAAATGAAGTTAAAAAAAAGAAGAAATTCGAGAATGACCCAATGAGTAAATTGGTTCCCTCCTTTCCCCAGTATCAGTGGTTCCCAAACTTTTTTGGTCACGACTCAAAATTCAACATCAAAACCCTGCCCTATATCATTAGGATGTCGCATAAAAATGGACCAATCCGAGATGCGGCGTTACACTATTTTATAATAGCAGACAGGGGCATCCAATAAGCGTCTCCCGACAAAATGTTGAAAACAAACATGTCGACAGTCCTATTGTCGATTTCCAACTACGTCGAATTCCTGAACGTCAAATGAATGAAATGGTGAAAGTTGAAATGTCGAGTGAGAGAAATGTCGAAATGAACTTTTATTTCTACTGTCAATGAGGTCTCGTCATGCCGAACATGAGAAAACTGCAATAGGTTCATGGTCCATAAAGGAAGGCAGAAATTATTTGCAGCTATAAATGTGATAACCATTAACGTGGAGGAAATCGCATTCAAAACTGAACATTATGTGCCCTGCACGCAAGTAATCACTCACTTCGCGATCAGATTACGAAGAGACAATTTCATGGATGCAATTACTTGGGATAATACTTGATGGTACTTAGAGTGGGAAAATCCTACTGCCTTTTGGATAAGTCGACGGAAATGAAATCTCTAGATCCTTTCTCGTCAGAGACACACGCAAAACATGGCGTGCATGGCCGAATTTTCCCGTTTTAGGTGCGTGAGTATCGTACACTTACGGAGGTACCTTTATCAGTTCGTCAATGAGAGTCACAACGCCGCGTGCATGGCAATACACTTTCTCCTTCCTACAAGTTTCACGCGTGAACAAGTACCTATGAATAAGTACCAATAATTTTATACCTATCTGGGAACGCACATATTCCATTATGGTCTTGGTTATGGCCCCAGTTCGACTGATGGATGCGAAGTGTGCTTGTTACTGATGTAATCGACACCATTAACGCTGACTGATGCAGACAGGTGATAAGGTCGACAAGACAGTCTTTGTTGCCTCGAGGACTAACAAGGAATCTGCTCTCCTTGATCATATTAGGACCCAAGGAACGGAAAGGAATAACCGGATTTCGACATCTTGAAGATTCCACTTTTTCAACTTTTTGACGCCTTCGGTTTTGTTAACAATCGACATTATACCCATTCGACCATTTTCCATTCGACGTTGAGTGGCATTCGACGTTTTCGCTAGTCGACATGAAATCTGACGCTTTTGTGGCTTTCGACATTATGTTACAGAACCGCCAATAGGATGCGGAATTAACATGTTCTTGCTTAGTTTTCTGGGTTCCTTTTGGATGCCTCGTTTTGCCAGGAACTGTGAAATTGAAACCCTATTGTCATGATCGTTCTTCTGAAATTTACCTATTTTTAATAGAAACCATAATAGTATAAGGGAGACGAATAGTTTCACGAACGACAAGACTACTACTTCTGTTGGCACGCGCAGAGACGCTGCCATCTCTCTGAGAGCGAAAGAATGCCAGTGGTTTACCGCTGAGTACAGAGATGTCACTAGAGGAGGAAGAAAAGCCAGAGCCCCAAGGGAGCTCTCTCCAGGGGCTCCAGGAAAAGCACCTGTTGTCGCATGAGGAAAAATCGAACCAGCAATTCTACCCTTCCATAATGGGTTTTCCATTAATTTAAGCGAGAATAATCGAAACATATTTTCATTCCGTGATCAAAAGTGAAACGAACACAATCTGTTCGGTGCCGTCAAACTTGCACTACCATTTATTAACTTCGTGCTTCTCGATCGATGAAGGAAACTCAATCGGGACACCTGTTGCTTGGTGTGAATGGAGAGTCCTTAGTTGAAAAGAATTTCCAGTTTTAAATCCATATCTTCAATGGTGATGGGGAAAAAAGAGCTCGAGAGTTGAACTTTAATGTTTGACACAATTCTTTTTTTTTCCGAGGTGTTTCAAGATTGGTGCCTAGCAACAAGTGGATCACTAATTCCCTGATCGGGTTAATGGTCCAAGTAATTTTTATCCTCTAACTGCATATGGCCACAAAGCAGATTCCTGACCAATCAATTGCCTCACACGTGTTCATAGAAGTCATGGGAGGAAAAAATTAACCGTGAATTTTAATATAGCGGATCTCCATAAACTTGGCTAGAATAGGGCAAGGTAATTGAATGAGGTGCATCGTCGATGGTGTTCCATAAAACAAGATTTTGCAATGTGTCTTTAGCTGGAGTGATGTGGTGGGCTACCAGTGAATATGGGATTTAGGAAAAGATTTGTGGGTTTGTTTCTTTATTTGTCGTAGAGGCCTTACTTTCACTCTTCGCAGAAAACCATTTTGTGAGCAGATGTCTCCGCGAACGATCGTGCGTTGATAATGCGACGTGATTTCATCCTCCAATGGGATTCAAGCCGCCGACCTTTTTAAAAATGTTTAAACGTATATACTTGTGCTTCTCCGTCGTCGTAAATACCAAATATGCAGTATATCAGCCTATATCTGAGGTTCGGTCATCTCTATATAGGGAGGTGTACTTACATATTGGAACTGCTTGTGCTACCACCGCTTATTCATATAACAGTACAGGTTTGCCAGCAAAGAACCCTGGTTGTAAATAAACCAGAATGGACTCCCTTACCTTGATTTCGAGCCAGAAAATGGCTGTTTTCTTCAAGAGGCATGGACAAAAAAGAGCGTCATCAAGGACTTTCCTGTATGTACAAGGTGGATAAACCCCCTCAATTTTTGCTATTCTCTCGTAACAACGGAATAACGAGACGATTGGCAGATTATGATAATTCCCTTACTCACCAGCTTCACCTAGCGGGGGCTGCAAGATGATCGTGCCTAGAGTGACTTGAAAAGAAAGTGCCATCGTTTTTACCTGTCCGGCAGTCGTTCATGCGAAGAAAGACTTCAATAGCTTGCTTGATGCTCTCTTTCGATTCGCCTATCGTTTCTAGCCTTTATACCCGCCTCCCGAGATTTCCCCATAAAAGTAATTCAAAGCAGAGAAGATCGAGAGAGGGAGCGCGCTGGCCATATGTCATCAAAACGGCGGGCAATCATCCCAGGACACAATTACCGGGACAGGCTAACATTGACCGCTGTATCCAATGGACAATAAAAATCCGTACACTTCTGTAGCTACATCTACTAGAGGAGAGCAGTTAGGCATGACATAGGGCGTCTGCGATCGGGTGTCTGCACGTGTCTCCATAACTGTATTCGCAGAATTTGAGATTCTGTTACATAGCATGCGGAGTTGCCATATATTGGGGTATCATTGCGATACACTTTCCAAGGACATGAAAAAAGGCGTTTAGCCATCTCTGCATATTACAGTATTTAAAAAAAAATGCATGTTGCCTCAAATTCAATAGCCAAATCCCTTCATGACCTGAGACACCCTAAATTAGTGCTTGTCTATAGCGTTGGGCAAATCGTTTCCATGGGCATGCAAGCTCAATTTAACACGGATTACAGCTGAAGATTAGTCTGCCCCCATTTAACCTGAGATTGTTGCTTGTTTCTTCTTGAACATGTTTCTCCCCTTCACACATTGCAGATATGGAGTTTGTGACTTTAGCCCGAAAATGATTTATTCAGAAGAAATTTGCTTTGGCTGGAAAGGAACACAATTTGTTTTGTAATACTCAGGTTTAAGTTTAACTGGCGGTATGCATGAAATCAGTCGCAGTTTCACTCCATTTCGTGTCATCAATAAAGGTTACTCATCGTCCGCATTAAGTTTTTGTTAGCATTCCTTTTCATTCCAACAAAATACAACTCCTATAATTATCCGGGAGTGGGGATATCAGCCACTCCATACATAGAGAAGGGCTTGGTGCTTGGTGACGAAGTCGAAGATGTCACCTCCATCGTCTTGCACGTTCCCGACATTATATTTCTTCTGTCATGATTCCACCAAGTTCATTATCATTCACAGCATGTCCATTCGATAAGAGCAGTTTTCCCTGTCTGGTATCTGGCGTTTGAGAAGCCTCCTCCGCAGGGCTCGTACTATTAGCTTCCCGACCACCTTACGCCAGCTGTCCGTTTTTTCCTCCTGGCCGTAGGCCTCAAATATGCATAAACCTACCGAGTAATAACTACTTTTGATTCCGTGTCATTCAACGTTGTCCCGGGACCAGGAAAGGAAACTCGATGCCGTGGGATGCATGTCATTCGGCCCTGTCACTCAGCCCTGGCCATGACAGAGTTGAGGCGCATTTGGGACCCATTCCCCCAAGTTTCCTCCTCCGCATGCCACTTTTACTACATCTCACGCCATCTCCGAGGACCACTTCAGGTTTCTTTTTGGCACATTTCCCCGTCGACCATGCGGTGGAGACAGCTAACTCAGCACAGCATTCCATTTGAGTCCCTTTCCATGACTTGGCTACGTTATGGCCGTTACATAAACTGTAAAGAAAAAAAAAAAGAGGAACTCCCTGGTGGCTTACGCGTGTAATTAGGCCAGGGTGCACGAGGGGTCAATTGGAAAAACGGCCTCGGGACTGGGACGCATTGGAAAACAAGCTGTCATCGAGAGGTTCTACGTGGCGCCGAGGAATTGCCTTCTTGATATATACGAGACAACTGGAATAACATTGGGATGTCTCTTTTGGCGCTGGTCTCGGTCGCAGTTTTGACGTGTCTCGTCTTGAGACGAAGACCACGATGAGGAGGTAGGTGAGCACTTTCTGGCACCGAATTCCCATATACTCATGAAATGAAACACCTTCCAGGGGAGGAAGAAGGAGGCCGAGATTTTCTCAGATAAAGAGGTCCCCGTATACCAGGGCATCCCATTGTGCCGGTCCCCGGGGGGGAAATGGATGGTGTTTTCTTGCGTTAGGGAAAGCCTAAGCGACACAGAGAATGAATGCCAGTTACGCAGGCAACAGCCAATGTAAAGTTTAAGAATGAAGCAGGCCTAGGCTCGTTCCGTGCCTTCCGGGCACTGTATGCCCGTGTGCGGTGCTAGTCAGCTCACAACGCATTATATCAGCCCCTTAGAGGACCCCCACACCGAAACCATCTTCCTTCTTCCGCCACATTCCTCCAAGAACAAGTTCTCGCGTCGCGGCGTCTGACCTTCCAGTTTCCTTTTCCGTCATTCATTCACGTCCGCTTTCCGTTTTTGTTTCCCTCTGAGTTCTGAACAAGCCCCCTCAAGTTTTTTCTCTGCTTTTCCCAATTGCTCCTTTCCATTTTTCACCCTCGGAAGGAAAGCTGGAATCTGGATCCCAAAGAACCGGACAGGAGAGGAGTAATCTCTCGGATGGAAGCTCTCAAGGTCATCAATCCATGTCATACTCTCGTCCTCGTAAAATGGAAGGTCGATGAATTGCATAGTTGTTAAGGGTAGTAGGGAAAGAACGTGTAGAGGTCATAGCGGTTCCGATGTTGGCGGATGAATGACCCATGCAAACATGCGAAACGAAAGCAGGACAGGACAATACTGCATCGTCGGAGCGTTAGCTTTCCTAATGACTTTGCCGAAAGAGATGCTGAATAATCGACGTACCCTATGGGTTCCCTTGAATTAGAACCAACGTCTTTTCCGTCTGTTAGTTCCTTCTAGCGCCGGCCCTTCTTGACATGCAGACCTCGTCTTCCTTCCCTAAACAACGCTGACTCTCCTTGAACTTCCTTGCATCTTGTCTGCACAAGAGACAGGCACATCTCTGAATGCCTCAAGTGGGAGGGAGAATAGTGCGAATTACGCGCGGAGTATCTTGCCACAGTAAGAGAAGAGATGATAGGCTTGTGTCAGTGATTACAACCAAGCCCTCGAGCGCAAGAATTTCTGACCCCTCGTCGCGCAAAGGCGGAGACAGAATGAAGTCATTCGATGGAAAAAAATCACCATCGATAAATCAAGCGAGCAAACGATCGTCCTGTTGCCGACAATAGCTAATAACGGGTTGGAGACAGTCAGAAACTAACCCTTGTTGCACGAGAGACCAAGAAAAATCTATGGAGGGGGGAATGCGGAGGGAAGAATAAGAGACATGGTCCAGTGGAGGTCAGAATGGCTGAACGTTCTGATTGATGTGTCTAGGGGCGCGAACAGCTGCACTGCATCATTCGTCTCACATGCATCTTCGCTCTACTTCAGCGTGCAAAAAAAAGCCCTCGAAAATACTGTAGGTAGGCAGTCAGAAACCCAGGCTTACCAACCAGTTACGAAACCCAAAACACGTCCTCATGCGACCATCAAGCTGGGAGGGAAGGCATGGCATTCCCCAGTAGCTGACATATCTAGAGAGCGTAAGGGACATAATTCAGAGCATCGATATCTTTCATCTCTTTCTCGGCAGGCATAAACCATGGACCAGTCGTGGCCGGGGTCGTCGGGGCTCAAAAGCCTCAGTATGACATCTGGGGTAACACCGTGAACGTCGCAAGTCGCATGGATAGCTGCGGTCAAATGGGCAAAGTCCAGGTAAGGAATTCCTCTCCCTCCTTTCGAGTCGTATCTTTTTATGGACTCGTTAAGCGTCGTGAGAGGGAATTTTGCATGTGAGATGCACCGCGGGTTGCAGGTGACGGAGGACACGGCAAAATGCCTGGAAGCAGCTGGCCTGGAACTGGAGTTCAGGGGTCCCACATTCGTGAAAGGGAAAGGGACTTTGACCACCTACTTTCTGAAGACCATCTTCGACGCTCGCCCCTGTCCCTGACAAGAGTCACTATTTCCCCATGGACTTAATCTCGCTTTATGCCTCTCGCTTCTCACTCTTTCGTCTTGGGATTCCATGTAATTTCTACCCCACCTTGCGGGAAGATAAATGGAGAAAGCAACCAGAGAGAAACCCCTCCTTCTGCTTGGATTCGCGCCAGACTCACTTCTTCACCTGGTTCCGTGGGTACAGTATGAAGTTATATCCTACACTGTGAATGAGAAAAAGTAGGCGTCCAGCTTCATATTTTCGAGTCCATTTTTCTCTGTAATCGCCAGAAATATTGCCATGCGACCCACTCCCCAATTTGACAATGATGAATGTCAGTTTTCGTATATGCTACGTGCAGCGTGTTTCCCTCACACCCGTACTTCCCACGGCAGCTAATAAAAAGAAAAACCGACAACTTGGAAGTAATCCGAACAGGTAATGTCACAAAGCTCGTGTTCCTTAAACGCAGACAACATTTTTGAAAAAGTAAGTGAACATAGAAAAGTAAGAAGGGATTCAGGGGACAGTAGTAATCGGATCACAACCGTGATGGAATGTAGCATTGGGCACTTCTTGGAAGCTTAGTGGAATGAAGAATAATGCGTTTGTACCATGCGATGAGCGAAGGGGCGAGGACAGGCGAAAAATAACATTACGAAGAGCTCTTCTTGGTTTTCTCTTCCACGCAACTGATCCAATCGAGAAGCATTTTCACTCCTTCGTCGACGCAGGGATGGTAGAACGGGAGTTCTTTCTTCAGTTTCTCGAACCATCGAGAAACATTCGGGTAGGACGAGATGCTCCACCCCAAAGCGACGAGATGAGAGACGGAGGCGAGAACAGCGAAATCCGCGATCGTCAGTTGACTCCCAGCCACGTAGGACCCGCCGCCGTTTCGATCAGCGCTCAAAAATTCGTCCAGATACTCCAAGCTTTGTTTGAGGGCATTTCCTTTGCTCGGTTCCAGTATCCCCGAGCCAAGAATCTTGGGTTTCTGTGAAAATATCATTCCAGATAATTTATTCTTCTCTCGTTCCCTCCTACAACGTGTATCAAGGCCGATTCCTGGAGGTGGATAGAAAAAAGTTATCCCCGCCACGTGGAAAGGCTAGATGGTAATGTTAATGGATTGAAGCCCCGATTTATATGTGCATTCCAAGGTGGAGTCGATGTTGGCACTTGAGGCGAAACCTGGGATGAAACTCCCACGTGAGAGGAGATTCCCTTAGCCCACTAATGTCCCCATACATCCCCATCAACCGTTTCGTTTCGACACGCCCAGCCCTTCCTTGTTCTGCGTGGAAAAATGATGGGACCCTCCCCGCAGCTGCTTCACCCCTCATTCACACAACAGAGCATAGAAATTGCGCGACAAAAAGCTCCCCGGTTTTCTCGGTCACGATCACTCTCTCAGGTGGGGAAGAATGAGGGAGGGGGAGAATAATTAAGTCAGAAGGGACTCACGAAGTAGTCCTGGATGCTTCTGTAGAGGGTCTCGATGTCGAAATACAAAATCCGGTCCACCATCGCCCTTTTCTCGGCGTCTTTGGGATAGAGCGAGTCGTCTCTCCCGTATTTGGTGACCAGGTATCCCATGATTGCCCGGCTATATTCACAAAATAAGCGAGAAAGATTTTGCGGTTACGATAAAATAAAGGCGTTAAGTGCGTTCGAGAGGCTTTTTAGACCTGCACCGAAATATATGGAGCATTTGACATTTAGCCGCGAGTTCGTGACAGAGACATCAGAGCATGGAGACCTTTGACCCCAAGGCTGGCACATGCCAGCCATGTATGCCATTAGTGCAAACCTAGATTCGTGGTCGCAGACGTCTTTTGAGATTCTTGGCATGCCAAGTTGCGACAATGCCACTACATCCCCGACAACACGTTGTCCGAACTCCATATACGGCTTTAACAAAGGAGCCTCTTCGAGGGGGTTCCGATTGGAGTTAATTCATTGCATGAATCAGCAATTGACACAATGTCATAATCAGCGGAACGTTAAAACCTTTCCCTTTCCAAGCTTACGCCCTTTATGAGAGTTCGCCTTTGGTTTCATTACGGATTTCCAGAAGATACATGACTCTTGAATGACTTGGCATCATCCGTCCCTCCTCGAGTTATCTGTACGTTTCGCCTCCACAGCTCTCTATTTCCTTCACAAAAGCCGTGTTTCCGAGGTCTGGGCAGTCATCTTTTGTCATCGTGTTACGGTACAACATCCGAGGATGACGCCAACAGATCCTTTCACGATCGATGATGGGCTGGGCAAAGCCACGCTGACCACTCTCATTCCTTTATCGGGAACCTCAACTGTAGATGGAAGGGAGACGAAGGGCAGGCCAAGGCAGGAAATATGAGTGTAAATATATAAGTTAACAGGTAAATAATAACCCAAGGTAAATCTCAGCTTAAGCTGATAATGACGGCATCCCAAGGGAGAAGAATCCAGTTACTGACTTCCGAGTTCCAACGCTCGTAGAATTCCATTTCTGATATGAGGAAAGTAATGTGGCGAAGAATCCCGATCCTCTTGACTGTGGAGCGTATGAATCTTGGGGGGGGGGGGGGGGGGGGGGGGGGGGGGGTTTTTTGAGGAGGGACGGATGATGCCAAGTCATTCAAGAGTCATGTATCTTCTGGAAATCCGTAATGAAACCAAAGGCGAACTCTCATAAAGGGCGTAAGCTTGGAAAGGGAAAGGTTTTCGTTTTCTTTACCATCTGCCGCCAATAGGTTTGTGCATAGCGCATTACTTATACAGTCCTACCGATTACCGCCACGATTGTGGACTATCCACATTATATAACTTGCTAGGCAGGAGCTGCGGCTTCTATCGAAGATTGCGACGCACTAAGGAACGATTACAGAATTTGTGCAGCATTTAAGCTGCCTGGTTTTCGGAAACAAAATTGGGATGTCTGACGCCATTATCAGCTTAGGCCAAAGACTCGAACACACAGCAATCGAGAATCGCGTCGAGTCCATCAGAGTGGGACGAAGGGGCAGAGGATGATCGGAGAACGATGAGGTGCGACGGATCGGAAGTGAATGCGTCCAAGTCGATCGTGGCTTGAGGAGTCAGTCCCTCCCGCTCCGCCGTCGCATCACAGGCCAGCGGCAGCAAAGCGGAAAAAGACAAACTCCCGCAAGCCATTCTTCTCCTCCTTCCTTCTCGCTCCCCAACGACGAGCGAGTTCAGATTAAACCGAAGCCCTCGCCTTTGGAATTTCGCTGAAAGAGAAACGTCGGTCGGTCCTTGGCCTTGCCCTCCGCCGCGCCTTTTCACACGTTTGCACACATGATCGACATGCACTTTTCGAATCCCTCAACGCTATCCTCTCCTCGGCCGCGTACTTGAAAATGTGAAACCGGTCGGAAAAAAACCGAAGAGGGATCACGAAGTCGTGAGAATGTATCGCCTGCGGCAGTGGCATGCGAAAGGAGTCACGTGGAAAGACTCTCTCGCTCTCCAAGCCTTCATGCATTCATTGAGGCACCACCTGCTGCAAGGCGCAAGGTCGAAGACAATTTCGACACATCCGAAGCCCAATTGCGCCTAATTCATAAAAAAAAAGGGTCCCTCCCCCCTCGGAGTTCCTCTTCGAAGTGTGATGCAACATCACGGCATGAAATGAACTCACCTCTCCCAGAGAATGAATCCGTTGTCATTCAGCGTCGGGACGGTGTGCTGCGGGTTCATCTATCGGGAGAAAGAGGAGAGAGAAAACTCCATCAACCAGATAAAGTTCGTGGAGGTTAAAATCCGTGGCGATATCGGTGGATTGATATGCATCTAAGGTCTCACTCCCTCCCTCTGATAAACCCTTTCGACTCCCACGCTCCGTCTCCTCATGAATCATCCCTGTCTCGTGCTGTCTCTTTCGCTTCTTATTCCCACTCCCACTTCCATGATGTTCTTCCATGTCGAATCGATCATCTCTCGGAATCGGGACTTTCCCCTTTGCCGGGACGTGATTAGATCGCATGGTGCTCCGACGCGTTTCGACTCTCGTCGTCTTTTTCCGTGTCGAATCGATCACCCTTACCGATTCCTTATCTGTACCGATTTGGAACTTTTTATAATCCCGTGTTTTGTGATCTATATCTTAGTGGGGGGGGGGGGGCTTTGTTTACGAGCAAGGCGCAAGGCGTACAAGAGCCAAATACAGCGGGGAAAATCTGACAAAGGGGGTCGGACGTGCTATGCATTATGGCTCTATTCATCTATGCTCTTTTATGACTAATCATACCAGAATTACAGGGGATTCATCCCGGGGGCGGGGAGAATTCCTGTGTGCGAAGAACGGGAGACTGGAATCATGCTGATCTCATTCCTCGGCTTCCATTACGCTCACTTAACATCGGCCGATCTCACCGCGGGGAGAACTTCTCGACACAGAGACGCAAATGTTAGTCGTACGGGGATCCCGGGGGGTAACTCTGATGCCGGATCAACTTATACGGGTACGAGAACGAGTAACTCGGAACCGGGATGATCAGTCTTCAGATAATCATCTCCGCATCGTATTTATTAATATTAATTCCTCTCCTCCGAAGGGCAACGAAGGACCGTTCTATCGCAGCGAAAAAAGTTGCTCACTTGCTCCTGCAACTCGGCATAGTAACTTTCGTATCTTGGGCCGTAAACAAACCAGGCGGTGGTTCGGTTGCATGACAGAAAGATGAATGGGGGCGAGTTCGATTCGAAAAAGTCGGGTAATTCCTATTCCTTGCATCAGCGAAACCTGCTGTGCACTGACATTATCGCGCTTCCCGCGGCAACCCAGTGCTAATGTAACCTCATCAATTAGGTCCAAGATAATTTTTTATGGAGATGAAAGTCGACGCTGGAAGGGAAGTTATGAATGACTTAAATGGCTCTCAGTGCACATCCCACCCGAGCATTGCAACACCGCCGAACTCCAGCAATCGATCTTCATTCGACCGATCGGGAGAGGGAATTCGTGCAAATCACGAGTGTGGGTTTGGGCGTATCTGTCTGACGCCGGTCACGAAGCCCATCGATAAAGTGTCCTGCCCTCTTCGCCCCGCTCTTTATGCACAATCCGCCCTCTGTGCTCGAGTCCGACAAAGGAAGGAAAGCAAAAGGATCGCGGTTGTTGTGTTCTGACCCCCCTACGTGATGAGCCTCCTCAAAGGAGTCGAATGATAATTTGTTGCGAGGGAAACCACAAGGACTCACCCTGATGAACCATGGCTGAGTTTGTTCCGCTTTCTTGAAGATGTCGATCTTCTTATAGTCCACGTCCAATTTGAGGGCCTTGATGGTGAACATGACGGACCTGCATGGTGGGGATGCAGCGGAGTAGAAAAATTCGATATTGGTATCAAAGAGGCCCATCTCGCACGGCACGGAAGTCTTCTTTCCCTAGCCGCTCGGGTTCGAACGCGACGAAAGCCGAAGAAAGAGGGGAAGAGGAGGAGAGAGGCCGAGATCGGGCCGCACTTTCTCTAGCGTGCGTACTGACTCGTCATCATGGGATTCCTCGCGTTTTCAGGGCTTTCCTTTTCTTCTTCTTCGTCTCCTCCTTCCCCCGTGGCCGTGCTGTGGGGTCGCGACGCGCTTGCGCAGTTTTTCTCCGTCTTCGTATCTCCATCTCCTTCGCCTGTTTGCATGCTGCTTCCCGGTCCGCTCTTCTTCGCAGTCATGTCATACGCCGTGTCCTGCAAGATCTGCCAATACCTGAGGATTTCCCACCTCTCCAAATGGAATCAGGCGCTTTGAGAGGATAGAAGATCAAAGGTCACACCCTGGAACATGTATCTTCTGATAGGGGTGTTAGCCCCGTATCCGAATGGCCGATCTCTTCATTAGGGATCAAATGGTATTAATTTTTCGTAGTTTATCGACCTATTAGAAGAATGTTCAGATCATTGAAAGATTGCAGCCTAGCATGCGTGTGGGAAACGAGGACCTCCGTGTCAGTCTGGCTCTCCTCAAAGAGCAAGGTCGAGCTCAGTTTCCATACACACTGCAGAGAAGATCGAGTTTCTGTTTTTGAGGCGGATAACAAGCAGACGCCCTTAAACACAGTACTGAAGATCCATCATGACATCCCGTGTGTATGACATCCTGTCATCCATTCCCCATGTGCCAGGGCATCAGCTCTTTCTCCTCTCCCCCCCCTCCTTTCCTTTCTTCCTGCGTGCTTTCTCCGTGCATTCATTGCCTTGGGAAGCAGGGTGCAGAGCCCTCAGCCTCCAGTTCCCATCCGATCCGCATATCTCGGTATCAAAGCCGGTGGTCGGGATAACGGATTCGTCAGGCCGGAATGGGGTCACATCGGGGTTTCGGCCGGGAAGGGACGGAAAGCGAATGGCGAGCGAAGTCTGTTTTTGCATCCGGGAAATTAATTAGTGTGTACTGTATATGCATTCTTTCCTTTGTTGTGTGTGCCCGACCCCTGCCCGGAGCTTCGGGGCCGAGTGAATGGAAGAGCCTTGAAAGTTTTTCCGATTTCCTAATTTATAATTATGTCTCCTACTGGGCATGGTTTTTCCATGTCGATTCGAATGCGAGGGAAAAATGAGACCAGGTCATCTGCAAGTCATTGATCATAGTAGCATGACAATTCCATTACTATTATGGTTAGTTCCCCGCGTGCCATTGTGAAATTCACGCACAGAGCTGGAGAGGGTGCTTTCTGTAGGTATCAACACGAATTGCACGCCCATCTAAGATTCGACCTCAGCACACGGCTAGTGCATGGCACATATCACTTTGGCACCACTTCCACGTGGAAAAAGTGGTCACGATTTTTGTTTAGAAAGGAACTTGCCCAATCGTGAGAACATGGGTTGTAATGCACTCTTGCAGACTCAGGAGTGAAAGGCACGAAAAAACGTGGAAT